ATCCTTCTCCGTCATCTCATCAATAGATAACATTGGAAAGTACCCTAGGTTACAGGTTTCATATCTCCCTTTGCTCAATMTACCCTAAAAATACATCTATTAGWGGGTTAATTCATAGTGAACAGGGCAATTTTCATAAGTGGGTGAATTTATAGTAACCTTAAATGAAGATGTGTAGACTTTCCAGAAATTTGAGAGTGACAGGTCTGGGAGAGAGAACGGGCTTGGGGACTGGAAGGTATGAGGAACATTGGCATAAGACTTTCACATAAAAGTTATTAGCTTTCTTGTTCATTCCTTTGTCTCTTTTCTGCTTTTCCATCTTACCTCAGTAGCATAGTAGGGAGCTCATGGCAGAGAAGACTGCTCACCTCACAGTGGCCAGGAAAACAGAGAGGAAAGGCCCGGGTCCCAGGATCCCCTTGAAGGGTATATGTCTCCAGTGACCTAGCTTTCTTTCACGAGGTGGTACCTCCTAAAGGCTCCCCACCTCCAAATAGCACCACAGGCTGGGGACCTAGATTGAAGACACAGGCCTTTGGGGAACATTTAAGATAGGAACCATAACACTTGTCTCCTCTGATGAGGGTGGGTGGAGTGCAGGCTGGTCACCTGGAACGGATCTTGATGGCACCTCAGGAAAAAGGTAAGTCCCACTTTCAAAACGTAGGACTTAAAGAGTTCTAATCTAGACAAGAAAGTGGGACTTTTGAGTTTATTTACTAGTTCTACTCTCTCATTTCTTCATAATTACTTTCATCTTTGTTGATCCCTTCTTATTGTCTTCCTTAATTTTAATCCTTTTATGACTTCATTTATTTTTATTCTTCCTTGTCTATTAGAAAYATTTAAGACTGTGAATCTTCCCCTCAGGGGTTCCTGTAGCTATTTCCATAGGTTTGGATATGTGTGATTTTTGTGTTATTTCTCTAGATAGTCTGTAATTTTGATTTTGTTTTTTCTCTTCGACTGAGAATTGTTCTACAGATTTAAAATTCTTTTTTTTTTTTGACATGGTAGAATTTTATGTTTCAGCCTTATGGTTTTGATGTTAATTTTTAGTCGTATTGCATTATAAATAAGGTATCTGTACTGTTTATAATCTTTGAACATGTGTGACATTTTCTTTGCAGCTTAACATATGGTMCTTATGATTTTTACCACGAATCTTTGTAAATAAAGGTATTAATCAGAGTATAAATTGTTAGTTAATTTCAGATGAGTTAATGTTATCAATTTGAGCATACAAAATACATTTAAATTTTTAAAAAAACAATATATTTATATATAAATATGTGTGCCTGTGTGTGTGTGTGTGTGTGTATTTTCTTTGGGTACCAATATAAGATTATATTTTAAAAATGAGATTCAGTATTTTAAAAAAACTCATGAAAGTTACTAGGTTATGTGACCCCAAAGGTCATTTAGAATGTGTAGAATATGAATATGGATTTGTGTAGGCCCCAGAGTAGAGTGACCTTGAGTTGAATTGAGATGAAAAGGTAACTAAAGTATACTTACTTCTCATTTTGATTACTTTTTCTCTCTATGCAATAAACTAATAAAAAAAATCTAGATTACACAGACCCAGGCCAGGTGCCATGCCAGTCTTATCAACAATAAGAGCACATTAAACAGTTTTTAATTGGTCTTGGGAAAAGCAAAGGTAAAATGAAAATTTAATTCTCCTGGGCCTTTGTTCAAAATGTGTTTTTCCATCTCTGTTATAAGGGACGAATGTTAATTGGCTTGATTCTCACCGTTTGGCCATGAATTTGTAATCTGTGTTCACACYTTGGGAGGAGAAAAAAAAAWTGATGAAAAGAATTGGACAGTAATGGGAATCTTGTCTGAGCWGAACAAATTGGGATTATCAAATATATTACAGGATGATGGACTTACTGCAGTTGGGGAAACGAACAGCATCAGRGCTGGTGATAGAAAACACTGTCTTTCCCCAAAATGATGTTCTTCCACCTGGCACAGTCTTGTCTTGCACAGAGAGATGGCACCATGGTGTGCCAGACAGGCACGAGTTTGAATCCTGCCTCTGCACCTTTCTGGCAGGTCATTTAACCCCCCACCTCTGAATTTCCTCATCTGTAAAATGGGGGCAATAATATACACCTTGCAGCCTTGTGAGGATGGAAAGAAATGAATTATATGAATGTGCATGATGCATAATAGGGGCTCAGAAAAAAAACTAAGGAGAATTTGAAAGGACAGATCTATGGCTGGGCGGGGGGAATACTTGAAAGAGCCCTAACTTGTTTATAGTTTTGAGAAGAAAGAGGTGGTTAGAAGCAGATTTGTGGGATGTGTGCGCACAAGTGTGTGTGTGTGTGTGTGTGTGTGTGTGTGTGTGTGTGTGTGTGTGTGTTGAGGGTAGGGAAGTTTGTAGGTCTGACCTAGATCACCTTCTTCTCAGTTTCTCTGGAGCATCAAGCAACCAGAGGCTTTTGCAGAGGAACCCACTCAGGATTCTAGTCTGGAGTTAGGAAAGTCCCCAGGGTCCTGTCTACCCCCATCATGTTATCCTGTGAGTTTTTAAGGACAGGTAGAATGTCATTGAGATCCTTTAGCTAAAAACATGTACCAATAAGGAAATGAGTTAGGAGTTTCTTTGCTAGAAAGGAGGTCGAATAGCACACATGGGGGATGKCGAGGCTTCTAGCAAAACCTATTATTTAGGGTGCTACGGAGAGCTGTGAGAGAGGAAGAAGATACATTCCTTGGCTTTGGAGCTTGTGATTCAACAGAGAGAACAAGTATATAGAGAGAGACAGAAAACACTGTGGCCACATAAGAAGCTAATTATAGAGATCTGGTGGCCATATAGCCTTCCCTCCCTAGGACAAGTAATCCCCAAGGTCATGAACTGTGGGTCCAGGTTCAGAAAACAGACTCCCTATTTCTGTGTGTGTCATTCAGGACACATTTCCCGAGCACCTGCTATACTTATAGGGTTCCCTTCTGTGAGGAGTTAAGAAGTGGGTTCAAGGGTCAGATCCAGGTTAATTTCAAGTCTTTCTCTCACATTTTAAAACACTGAGTATTTTTAAGATGTGCTACATAGGACTTTTACACACACACACACACACACACACACACACAGTGAAATGATTACTGTAGTCAAGCAAATTCAATCTGCCATCTTCCAGAGTGACAGGGTATGTGTGTGGGGGCTAAAATCTATTCTCTTAGCAAAATTTCAATGTACATTACAATGTTATTAACTATGGTCCTCCAGCTGTACATTAGATTGCTGGATTTATTCATCTTTTACTTTGTAACTTTGTACTCTTGACCTGTGGGTTCCTATTTTCTTCCCCTTCCTGCCTCTGGTAACCACTCTTCTGCCCCTTGCTCCTCTGTGTTTGACTAACCCTAACCCTAACCCTAACCCTTCTGTCCTTCTTTCAAGATTCTGCACAGAAGTGAAATCTTGCTCTCACACCCTCTTTTATGATCTTGGGAAAGCACCTAGCTACCCTTTAGGTACCCCAGGTCCCTTCTCTTTAAAATGATAGGACCAGGGGAGCCACTGTGATAATAGAAGAATTTTTCAGCACAGGGCCTGTGTTGGAAAGGGGATTAGTTTACTATATTCAAGCTGGTGGTTCATGACTTAGAGCACCCCCCCACCCCCAACCCCCCCCTTTCAGCAAAGTCTGGAGAAGTTTTGGCCCTAGTATTTAAGTGTCTGTCCTACAATGCGTAGGATTGTCTCCCTCTCCTCTTCCCCACCTCCCAATCCTCTGATTTTAGAATTAATAGATGAAAACATTAGAGATTTTCCTTTCTCCAAAGAGGAAAAATGTCATGTAGTAGTTTTTCTATGGCAGTGGCCCTGTCCCGACATTCCCACATTAGCCTGCTCTTGCTGTTMCTGATGTTTTGGGCATAACTCCCTCCACTCAAAATCCCAGTGGATTGTGCCATCCTCATCCATATGCATGTTCCCAATTAAAGATTTGCAGCAGTCTGTGTGGTGGAGTGAAACCCAAAGGAGGGACCTGGCGCCCACGCCTTTTGGGGTTCGGATCCCTCAGCGGGAAGGGACGGCAGGACCAATTCTGCTCCAGGCAGGTCACACTCCAGCCATTCACTGCAAACACCCTGAGTGTCCCAAAGGCAAGGGCACCAAGGAGCGAGCGCAAGCTGGCTCCTCCGGAGCGGCCCAGGCCGGTAGCAGACTCGAAAGCAGGTGTCCAGGGCAAGCCACGGCCAAGACYTAACATTTGAAGGGACCGCGACTGCTGTGGGAGTGGGGGCGGGGCGGGCGAGGGGGAAGTTTGTCTTTCTCAAAGTCCCCAGTGAGCGCACTCCAGCTTCCCTGGGGCTGCACCTCCCTGGAGTGCACATCAGGGCAGACCCCAAGTGCTGGTTAAGCAGTGGCCGCGTGGCGTGGGTGACRGCGGGGGTGGGCCACCGTCTTCCGGAGACGATGCCTGTGTGTTGAGTCAAACCCGGTGGCTGGGCTAGATCTGCAGCAGGGCAGCTGAGCACGATTGACTGTGGTTAATGATTGAAAAACTGACTTCCCCGCCTCCTGCCTACCGCAACCCCAGAAAGGGTGCTCTTGGAGGGCGGGTCAGGACGAATGCCAGGAAGCTGGAGGGGGACAGGAGGGCAGCAGCAAAGTGAGTGCCCACTGCAAAGAGGGGCAGGGCGGGAGCGCCAGGGGCTGCGGGTGTCGGTCTCAGCCGGGCTGGGAGAGTAGAAACTCCTTCCTCCTCCTCCTCCTCCTCCTCCCCCTCACTCAGGCACACTCATCTCAAAACCCCACCCCCAGGCTCCACCAGCCTCTTCTAGGTTGGTCTGCTCCAGGAAGCTTTCATGAAAGCGCCGAAATACCGAGTTATGTTTTTGGTCAAGTGAACTCAAGAGAGAGAAAGTCCTGCGTCCACTTGGGAGTTGCCGCCAAAGAACTCTGGGCTCTGCTGGGAGAAGAAAAGAAAGTTGGAGAAGTTTTTGAATCTGGCAGCGTGACTCTCTTCTTAATGGCTTCATCCAGGAGCTCCAGCAGTGACTGCTCCACTGTCATTGATCACAGCCATGTCCCAGCTTTTGAGGTGGCCACCTGGATCAAAATCACCCTCTTCCTGGTGTACCTGATCATCTTTGTGGTAGGAATCCTGGGGAATAGCGTCACCATTCGGGTCACCCAGGTACTGCAGAAGAAGGGCTACTTGCAGAAGGAGGTGACAGATCACATGGTGAGTTTGGCTTGCTCAGACATCTTGGTCTTCCTCATTGGCATGCCCATGGAGTTTTACAGCATCATCTGGAACCCCCTGACCACACCCAGCTACTCCTTGTCCTGTAAGCTTCACACTTTCCTCTTTGAGACTTGCAGCTATGCCACGCTGCTACATGTGCTGACGCTCAGCTTTGAGCGCTATGTGGCCATCTGTCATCCCTTCAGGTATAAGGCTGTTTCTGGGCCCTGCCAGGTGAAACTGCTGATTGCCTTTGTCTGGGTCACCTCTGCCCTGGTAGCATTGCCCTTGCTTTTTGCCATGGGTGTTGAGTACCCTCTGGTGAATGTGCCCAGTCACCGGGGTCTCAGTTGCAACCGTTCTCGAACCCGCCACCACGAGCACCCTGAGTCCTCCAACATGTCCATCTGTACCAGCCTCTCCAGCCGCTGGACTGTGTTCCAGTCCAGCATCTTTGGTGCCTTCATCGTCTATCTCTTGGTCCTGGTCTCCGTGGCCTTCATGTGCTGGAACATGATGCAGGTGCTCCAGAGGAGCAAGCAGGGCACGCTGGCTGGGACCGGGCAACAGCTGCAGATGAGAAAGTCAGAGAGTGAGGAGAGTCGGACTGCCAGGAGGCAGACTATCATCTTCCTGAGTGAGTCACTGTGGAGGGCGATCTGGGAGCAGCACCCCACCTTCACCTGAACCATTTCCTATGGTCCTCTTGTTGAGAAGTCTTGCCCTAAAAGTCTAAATTTAAATTCATTGAGGCTGAAGTCATAGCAGAATTAGGGCATTGATATTGATCTGTGTCTTTGGATGATTCTTCTCTATGTTTGGGGAATTTGTGGTGGGTTATGATGAAAAGAACACTAAACTGGGGTTAGAAGGTCTGGGACACAATTTCTGTGACCTTGAGCAAGTCACAGAATATCTTGGGTAAAATAGACATAAAACTACTGGGAAATAAGAAGGATAAATTAGGTAACGCAGAGGTGAAAATCCTTTGCAAAGGCCAAGTTCTGCAGAGATCAAGGGAGCCCTTTATCTATCTGTCTCTATCCTGAAGAGCCTTTCTTAGGCAATTAGATTTTGTTCCCACTCTTCTCCTCCTCTGGAGAAACCAGGCTGCTATTTTATTCCCCCTGGAGTGATCTTCTACTTTTTTTTTTTTTTTTTTTTTTACCAAAACAAACAACAACAATGACAACAAAAAACAACTGGAGTTCTCAGACATGCCCTGCCCAGGACCCTGGGTTTCTGAGGCAGTGCATCGTTTCTTACCAGAGCCAAGAAACAGAGCAAGACTGCATGGCCTCTTGTCTGATTTAGACATTGCAGCTTTGCGGATTCCTGGGACTTGACTGATTTCCCAAAGTACCCATTCCCATGCAGAGAAAGCTTGTTTTCCCAACTTTGTTGTGATACAGGATTTAAAATACTGAGGGCTTTTCTGGGTTTAATGGGGGTATTTCAAAGGAACCCGTGGTCTGTGAGGCCCCAAAGTCTTCAGAAAAGGAACTTCATTGCTAAACTTGGGAGACTGGATTTTTAACCCAGGACATGTGAAGTGTGCGAGTAAAGGGTTAAAAAAAATTTTTTTTTTAAAGAAAAAACAAGAAAAACTAGTTTTGGGTGTATGTGAGTCAAGAGGGAGTTGATACTGCAAATGTTTCTTCCACTTTGCAATGTGGTGGCGGGCGAGGGGATAAATCATGGTGCTGTTTGTTTTGGTGTGGGAAACTTGAGTGACTGGTTCCAGGATCAGGGGTTAGACAGGGCAGAATATTGGACGGCAGGTAGGTTTTGTGTCAGCCCAGCTTCTGGCTTCTGGTGTATTGGTGAAAGGCTGATTTGATTTTAATCTAAGTGTGCAAAATGAGAGGGTGAAGGCCTGCAATTTTTGGATGCCAACTCTGCCTCAGGGGCTGTGCTGGGTGATTTATGTTTCCATTTTATAGAGGAGGAATTTGTGGCTTACAGAAGACAGATCAAAATCTTCTTGTATAGCACCAAAATTCTCCTCCCTATGCATCTTGGGGCAGGAAAATGAGTGTCTGGCCATGACTTTCACAGGCACTTGGCAAAGGGAAAATGAACTAAGGCTTCAACAACAAAGGTGCTACCTAAGGTAGCATGGTAGAGTTGCTCTTCCTCTGGCCAGCCTCACCGGAAGCTGGAGTAGGGAGTCCTGGCAGGTAAGGATATGGGAAGGACACTCGACCCTGCTCCATCTTTGCTGCCCACTGGCTGCTGTCCAAAACATGAAGGAATGGACATCACACTTGCTTAAAACTTGAACGTTTGTTAAAAGGCCAATCCTCTCTTTCTCCATATCCTCTTAGGCATATCTTAAGATGTTGGCTATAATTTCTACATTAATGTGAATKAATTTTCTTTTTTTCCCCCCCTCCCAGTCTAACTTAGGAATCCTGGCTACTTTGACCAAAGGGGGAAACAAAAATAATTGATTTACCTTTGTTCTCTGTTTGGCCAATCTTTCTTTCTTTATTTTWTTGTTTCTTTGAATAGATGTCAGTGAGTTCTTTCCTCAGTGGGTGTTCCAAGTTAAAGTCAGTCTCCACTGGCTAGCATAAAACCAGAATGTCACAGACTTTCATTTGGAGATGGATAGGTTCATGGGGCTCATCCCCTCCGGTTAGTAATGGCCAGGAAAGAGTTTRATCTCAGGGTGCTCTTCTTCTTTACTTCTACCTCTTTCCCTCTCTCTCACGACAACTGTATATTAATCACCCTCTGTGTGGCCAGCATCAAGATTGTTGAAGGGCAGTCAGGCGCTCCACGTGTGATAATATCTTGGGGGAATTTTATCTTTTATATTTAGCCCATTTCCTCAGCAGTAGGTTTTCAAAGCAGTTCTTGAAAATGTCCCCTTCCCCCAATGAATTTCAAAGAGCTTTTAAAAATAGGGACCCTCACTAATTAACTCAAGTTAGGAAATAAATTAATGGAGTGAAGAGGAAGAAATCATGGCCCGCTTCCATCAGATTAATACAATGCAATTTACTCTGTGGGTTTCATAAAACTTGTGCTTTGGGGCATTTTTAACCCAGAACAAATGAACATACAAATTGTTTACAAATCGCTGAGTTTAATATAGTGATTTAGCTGTCTTTTTTAGTATTTCATTTAACAGATGGGTCAAATCAAAATTAATATTTGCTCATTTCAAAAGTATTTTGAATTTAGTGTGAAGTGTAAATGACGACATAGCACAAGATGTCTTTGGAGCTCTTGAGGCAATAAAAAAACAATTAAGGGTTTTCTTCCTCCCTCTTGGTTAAAAAATCCTAACTTCTGCATAATGGAAATGAAATTCATAAATCTACCCAGGATGAGGAAGTCCATGTAGAAAACATTAATTATCCTTTCTGCATCTTTTGCCATTGTGCCTCCGTTGAGTTGAGATGCTGGACTGATAAATAATGAAAACAAATTGTGAACTCTGGGAGAGGGAAAAAGTGTTTGGATGCATGTGAAGTCTCAAGCAATTTGCAGAAGAAAAAATAATGATTCAAAAGTGCACATTCCTGGAAATGTGAGTTCTCTTCTTGTCTCTTGTTAGCTCAGTGAGAAATCAGYACCAGGCTTATCTCCCCTTACAAGGTCACTGCTGATGTGGCCATGGTGATACTTGTCCAGCGTCGGAACAGAAGTTGCTGGTGTGGCTTTCTGCCTCTTCTGAGGAAAAGGAACCAGTGCATAGGGCTCTTTTGCCCTTGGATGTTGAGCACGTGCAAAATGAGGTTTCCTTTCAAGGAAGGCTTTCCTACAATTTCCCTTCTTATTCTTCTGAACTTTCCCTTGGAATGATTCTCAAATACATATGGCACCCAGGTCCTTGGACACATGGTTTCCTGTCAAACGTCACCCACTCAAAGTCAAACAACAGAGTGGTTGAAGATACRGTTTTAATTTGTAACTTCAAGAGCATGACGTGACCTCATACAGGGCAGTGACTGGCTTTTAATAGAGGTCATGAAGAAAAGATTTTTTTACAGATAATCATGAAGTTAGAAAATTAAAGGAACATTCTGGAAGACTGAAGACTCCACAGTAATTGCACTTTTTTGGTCTTCGGAGTCAGAGGGAAAGGGAAGAAATTACATCTAGTGGTCGAGATTGCACGCCAACTTGGGCTGCTCATGGGAGAATATCTTAAAAGATGGTTGTCTTATGTGCTTCTCTGGAAAAAAGGTGAGAGTTGCTGCTTTCATGGACTACTCTAAAAATAAGATTGACGTATGTTTAGATATTCCTGGAAACAGGAAGGAGGAGATCAGAGTCACAACCTCTGAGTTTTCAGACCCCAGTTTAGAAGCCAAACCAAAGGAGGGGATGAGAAAGGGATGAGAGAGAGAGAAAGAGAGAAGAGGGAAGATAGAAGAGAGAACCCTGACTGTTACCCTCTTAAAACCAAAGGAGGGGATGAGAAAGGGATGAGAGAGAGAGAAAGAGAGAAGAGGGAAGATAGAAGAGAGAACCCTGACTGTTACCCTCTTCATCTGGGGGCCTGAAAAAAATCCTTAAAGTTAGTTCCCTTAAAATTGACTTCAAAACCTCATGTGAAAACAGAGTTGATTGGGATTTGAAAGTGAAAATTATGAGAAGAAACTCACCTTGTATATTATAAATATAGGTCATAATTACAAGTGTAGGTTAATTCTTATAACTATTCAGAACGAATCAAGTGTGGCTTTTTGAAGGGCGTGATTTTTTTCTGATGCAACTATATGATAGCCTTTGTGTTCGATTTTCTCAGAAAGATTATAAAGAATGCTTTCTCCCAGGGCTTCTCTTAATTTTTGCTATTTAAATCATCTTCACTGAAGCGCCTGTCCTGGGATCGTCCTTGTYAATTTTCTATTGTTCCAAAATTACCTGGTCTGATTCAGATAGGCCCTCATTTGTCAGTGACTTGGCAGTTGATTCATGTGTCTTTTCAGCTCCCTCTTCATTGACTTTATGAAATTCAGCACCCATGTGCAGGCCTTAACCGAAAAATATAATTAGCTAAGGAATCAATCCCTGGGTTCTATGCAGTGTATATCAAGGATTATATGAGAATCATTGCCTTCAAATGCTTCTAAAGTGCCATGAGAATTTTTATTTTTTAATTTTTTTTATTTTTTAGTTTCTTTTTTTATTGGTTGTTCAAAACATTACAAAGCTCTTGACATATCATATTTCATACATTAGATTCAAGTGGGTTATGAACTCCCATTTTTACCCCAAAGGGGAGGGGAGGGGGGATAGTAGAGGATAGGAAAGGTAGCAGAATACAACAGTTACTAATATGGCATTATGTAAAAATGTGGATGTGTAACTGATGTGATTCTGCAATCCATGAGAATTTTTTAATGGTTGTTTTCTTGACTAGCTTAAATAGTGGTCTTACAATCTTGTTTTCACCACTAATTTTCCTCCCAAAGGCTTTTTCAGTGGTGTAAAAAGATATATCAACCTAATCTCTCAGGGAACTATCGCAAGAATTAAATTAGTAACTTTTTAGTGCAAGATAGTGTTTGATTCAAATGTTTGAATATATCAGGAAAAATTTTTGCCTCAAATATTCATATTATTGTCTGCATTCTTTTTTCCCCTTATTGATCTAGATGCGCCTGTAATGATATTTCATGTTTATTTTTCTATTTGGGATATCTGTCATAAATTGCAAATGTCCT